CCCGCGCCGCGCGTCTTAAAGGGGAGGGTGCGCCAGGCGCGGGTCGGCCGACACGGAACCGGGCTAGGGGGGAAGTGTGCAAGGGTGTGCGTGCAAGGGTGCGCGTGCCAGATTTGTGTGTGCACGCGTGCAGGTGTGCGTGTGCAGGTGTGCGTGTGCAGGTGTGCGTGTGCAGGTGTGCGTGCACGGCTGCGCGCCGGCGGGAGGGCGTGTGCGGTGTGCACGCGTGGGGGGCACAGGCAGCGCGCGCGCGTGTGTGTGCACCGTGAGCTGTGCGGGGCACGTGCAGCGCGCTCACCTGCAGCGCGGTGTGGGTGTGCAGGGGGTGTGCAGAGCGTGTCCCGCGTGCAGAGTGTGAGTGTGCACAGTGGGTGTGCACGGTGGGTGTGCACAGTGTGAGCGTGCAGTGGGTGTGCACGCCGTCTGTGTGCAGTGTCTGTGCAGTGGGAGGCAGGCAGTGCAGGCAGGGGACCCTGAGCCCTGGGGCATGGTGGGGACTGAGCCATGGCCGTGCTGAGCACCCCAAACCCTGAGCAGGGCACCCTGAGTCCTGGGCCGAGCCCCAGGCTGAGCACCCCAAACCCTGGGCTGAGCACGCTGAGCACCCCAAACCCTGAGCAGGGCACCCCAAACCCCAGGCTGAGCACCCCAAACCCTGAGCAGGGCACCCCGAGCTCCAGGCTGAGCACCCCAAACCCTGAGCTGAGCACCCTGAGCCCCGGGCTGAGCACCCCAAACCCCAGGCTGAGCATTCTGAGCCCCGGGCTGAGCACCCCAAACCCTGAGAAGGGCACCCCAAGCCTGGGGCTGAGCACCCCGAGCCCCAGGCCGAGCACCCCAAATCCTGAGCAGGGCACCCCAAATCCCGGGCTGAGCACCCCAACCCCTGCACTGCGCACCCTGACATTCCTCTCACCCTGGTGCCAGGCCTGTCGAAGGCCAGCAGCTGCCCTTTGCTGACCAGTTTCTCCCAGTCCCTAACTGGGAGCTGGGCACAAGGGCAGGATGAGACAAGCCGGGGGTGGCCGCAGCGATGTGCCAGGGAAGGCCAAGGTCCCGCGGGGGCCAAAGCCCCTCGGACGGCCACGCTCTCCCAGCCCAGCTCCCCTTTCCTCCCGGGGGGCTTCGCACTCACCCCCAGATCGTCGGCGCTGCGGACCCGAGAAGCGGGAGGGCCGGCAGCTGCGGCCCCGAGAGGGGGGGGGGCCGCCAGCCGCAGCCCCAGCCCCTCGCGAGCACAGGGAGAGTGATGGCATGAGGCTGGAGCCAGGTTTATTGCAGGATCCGGCGGTGCCGGAGCGATACGCGGCAGCTACACGGTGTTGAAGCAATAAATTAAGCCATGCAGAAGCGCTGGGGTCTCATCCTGCCGCATCACCCACTGGGGGAGGTTTGGCAGCTGTTAAGCGATAAAATAGCTTTACACTTTATTAAATATATTAAATGTTAATAATTAAATAATCATGGAGTAGGGCGCAAAGCTGGTTCTGCTGAACATCCCAGTCCCATCTGCACAGCCCCGAAGGTGGGGTGGTTTTGGGGATGGCGCTGAGCGGTGCGGGCTGGAGCCGGCCACAGGGTGCACTGAAACACCCCGGAAAACACCAAAACGTTGGCAAACACCAAAAGAGCTTAGAAAGGGGGGCTGCCGGCTGCTTGGCGGGGAAGGACCAGGCCACCACGGCTGTGGGAGCCCCCGTCTCGGTGGGGGATGCTCGGGTCCTGCTTGATGCCGGTGGCTCTTCATCCCGGGGAGCCCCAAGACGTGCCAGGGCATGGATCCGGCGTGACTGGGGGGACGCTGCCCCTGCACCATCCTTTCCCAGCAAAATCCAGACCTCCTCTGGCGAGAGGCACGCCGGGCACCACAGCCCTGCCGGGGAATTCCTGCT